GGGTGTCACTTGGCAGATCTTTGACAGTACAGCAGCTCCATCTGGATTAAGGATTATTTGGGGAAAAAGCTATATGAAGGCTGAGGCTTCAGATCTGCAGGCCTAGATTTCTGGGTTATGAATGGGGACAGCACACTGGCAGAGTCTGGCCCTGTACTTGAGTCTCAACTTAATGGGAGCTCCGTGCATACGAGTACAGGGGCTTGTGTGTCTGTGTGTTTCTCAGCTCTGTCCCTCCCCCTCTATGTAATGTATGAATAAAAGAGAACTTATTAGGGAGCATCGGGAAGAAACTGTTGTCTTCCATTCATATTTATAGCTAAAGTTTCTTAAATGGGTAGATCTTGTTTGTCCATCAGAAGATGACTATCAAAAGAATATTTTCTTTTCTCTCTCTCTCTTTTTTTTTTTGCGGTACGTGGGCCTCTCACTGCTGTGGCCTCTCCCGCTGCAGAGCACAGGCTCCGGACGCGCAGGCTCAGCGGCCATGGCTCACGGGCCCAGCCGCTCCGTGGCATGTGGGATCCTCCCAGACCGGGGCACGAACCCGCATCCACTGCATCGGCAGGCGGACTCCCAACCACTGCGCCACCAGGGAAGCCCTCTTTTCTCTTTTTAAAGTAGCCACTGGATAACAGGAACCCACCCTGGTGTCTCCCCTCAGGGGCCTGAAACACTGCGCATGTCCTCCCTGCCTCCTCTGTTGCTGGCCCATGTGTCTCTAGCAGCAGCATCCCAGCCTCTGTCTGCTTTCCTCATGGCCCTGCTCCCGGAAGAAAGCAGTTAGGCTAAAAGGCTGCAAGATATCTGCTGTCAGGTGGTTGCCTGAAGCTCTGACACCTTGAAGGGAGCTCCCATTTCTGCACAGGTACAGTTACCTTTTGAGTTCACCCAAATGGTGCCTGAGCGACCTCAGAGATGGGCAGAAGGGAATCTCCCACTTGGAGGTGTTCACTTTCCCTGTTCCCTCTGGAGTCTATTCTCAATCCCTCCAGGACCTATTTCCATTCTGGATCGTCCCACCAAAATGTCTGAAAGGGACCCTTGCTCTTGGCTGCCCATCTCATCGGAACAGTCTGGGGAGGAGGTCTCCTTCACCCCGTGCTTGTAGTATGGGGTAGGCTGGGACTCAAATGGGCTCCCACGGTGGCTTCCTCATGCCATTTCTGGGGTGTGCCTTGAGTATTTAATGAGCAGTGATTCAGAAACCCTTGGTTTGAGGTGATTTACCCTTTCATTCAACCACTACTTCTTATGTGCCCCCCAAATGGCAGCCACTGGGGGTACAGCAATGAAGGAGGCGTTATTTTTGCCCCTGGTGAGCTCACACGGAGCTGAGGTACCAACAATATGGTGAGAAAAGGTACAATGGGGTCAATCCAGGGCACTACGGGGGCTGATAAGGGGGGTGTGGAGGCTTCTTAGAGGAACTGATGTCTGATCTGCAACCTGAAAGATGAGGGGGAATTAGCTGGGTAAAGGGAAGTGATGGGATACTTTCCAGCAAGTGGGAATGGAATGTTATTTAAAAAAAAAAACTGGGCTTCCCTGGTGGCGCAGTGGTTGAGAGTCCGCCTGCCGATGCAGGGGACACGGGTTCGTGCCCCGGTCCGGGAAGATCCCACGTGCCGCGGAGCGGCTGGGCCTGTGAGCCATGGCCGCTGGGCCTGCGCGTCCGGAGCCTGTGTTCCGCAACGGGAGAGGCCACAACAGTGAGAGGCCCGCGTACCGCTAAAAAAAACAAAAAAACAAAAAAACTGCCTCACAGGTGAAACCTGATGGCAAACGGTATTCATGAGGGGGTGGGGAGAGAGGGGGAGGGAGAGAGAGAGAGAGAGAGAGAGAGAGAGAGAGAGAGAATAAGCAGAGGAGAAAAAGATGGAGAAACATAGGAAACAAAGTGGCAGAGAGACAGAGACAGAGACAGCAGGACAGAGATGAAAGGCTGGAAGGTGGAGAGATGAGAGGAATAGAGAGAGGACCAGAGAATCGAGGATTGTCAGAGCTGGAAGAAGCCATAGAGAACATCTAAAATCCCCTCATTTTATAGATAAGGAAACGGAGACACAGAAAGGCATTGCCAGAGTCACAAATGTGTTTAGTTAAAATGCTGAGTAAGAAACCTAGATCTCATGGCTTCCAGTAGGTTTGAGAGAGAAAGAGCTAGAGATGGACAAGATGGGGAGAGAGAGGAGTCAGAAAAAAGGGACGAGAGCTAGGGAGAGGCACAGACAGCTAGAGATTCCTGGGCGGCACACTGTCGGGATTGCTGCGTGGAGTGAAAGCAAGGAAAGTTTCGATGAAATCTGAGCTGGGTTTCTTTCTTTTCCTTTCCCCTTTACCTTTTCCTCATTTTTCTCCCTTTCTTTTCCCCGTCTAACCACATCCTTCCTACAACTAGATGTCAGGGAACTGGTTGCCATGGCTACCAAATGGCATCCAAGCAGGCTGAATTATTAAACCAGGGTCTTTGAAGCCAGGGCCCCAGTACGAAGTCCCTCTAGGGGCGCAGGGCGCAGTATGGAGCATAGGTCTGTGCCGGGGCAGGCCTAGGTGCTCCCTTGATGGTCTGGCTCAAGAGAGGACAGTGGTGCCTTGAGCACTGATCCCTTCCTGCCCCGCCTCACTGAGTAGAGTAGAGGCCTGGGAGTAGGGAGGAGGTGCATCTGCTGGGGTTAAGAGTTGGAGAGACACAGGCCCTGTGTGCTGAACTGAATCCCTGCGTCCCAGCCTACTGCCCCCACCTCCTCTAGCAAAAGGCACTGGACAACAGCCACAACTCATTCAAATGAAAGAAGAACCAAAACCAATGTTTTGTTATGTCTGAAACGACACCATATTGTTCGAATTAGTTGCTACACGTAGCCAGAGAGGCAAGAAATAAAATGGCAGGTGTGTCAGTGGGGCTGTACTGGGGCATCTGGGATTGTGATGCCTCCTCGGATAGGTAAAGGGAATCTGTCGTGGGGCCATGCGGTTGGTAGGCGTGGCCCACTCCCGGCAATAAGAATGGTCTGTCAAGGAGAGTCTTGTCTGTGGGCACAATTGTTGTTTGTTTTGATGGTTGAGGGGAGTGAGTGTGGCTGCTCTTCTCTTAAGGAGATTCCAAGCCAGGAAAACCATCAGCCTTCTGGTATCCCAGCTCTTTAAACTTTTTCATTATAAAAAGAAACCCAAACATTGTAGTGTGACTGTTCCTGCTTATGGGCTGATGGAAGAAGGGCTTCAGCGGCTGGTAACTGCCTTGTGTCTGTGTGTACATATGTTGGGGTGCGGTGGGGGCATGAAGAGTCCATTTTGGGGTTAATGGAGTCATTCTCCTTCCCTCTAATAGATTCAATAGATTCTGAGGTTAGTTTTCTAAAGTGGGAAAATCTCTCCCTGTGTCCTCCCCACTCTGTGTTTCTTCTCCCTTGAGGGGAGGGCTGTTAATTCCCCAGGACCTAGGATTCTGACCCCCCCTTTGTGCAGGGCCCATGATCTCCTCTGAGTGCGGCTCCCACTGATGCTTGAACTGAAACAAAAAAAAATCTTCATGAGGGAAACCAGATCTGTAAGACTTCCCAAAAATCTGTCAGCCTCTAAAAAATTGACGTGAAGTCCTGATTTTTTTCCCCCTAATGCCCAGCTGGAGCAGGTTTCAATATCAAGGCTAAAGGCCTGGTTTTCCAAAGTCTATTTCATAGAGACCAGACTCACTTCTTTTCAGGGTTGATAATTTTTAGGACTTACCTGATGCTGGGGCTGAGGTTCTGGAATCTCCCAACCAGGCCTCTTGGGGGTGTGGTGAAGTAGGCAGTAGCTAAGAAGGCTGCACTGCCCTTGGTCTTCACTTCCTTTCCCCATCCCAAGCTAAGAGGAAGGGGAGAGGAGCCTTTGGCCTTGTGATCATTTAGTTCCTGTCAATGCATGTTTTCTGAGATGTGCCAGGCCCTGGGTAGGTGGGTGTAGAGCATACAAAGTTGACTAAATACAATCCCTGCTCTTAGCCGTAGCTCACAGCTAAGTAGGAAAGGCTGAATGTCTTCATTCAACACTGGCAACCCCCAAAGGAAGTCTTCAGAAAACCTGCCCCATCTTTCTGTGCCAAGACCAGGCCTGAGGAACCAGAGCTACAGGGGAGAGAATGCTCTCCTTTCTTTCTCTTTCTCCTCCTTCTCTTCTTCCTTTCTGTTTCTCTTCTTGGCCCTTTCAGTCCTACTGCCTCTCCCTTCTCTCTCTGGGGCCCTGTGCCCTCTGATTCTGAGTTTTTGGTGGAAGGTGGGCAGCTGAGTATAGCCACCTGGCAAAGCCCCTCTGGGGACCTACATGGATTGAAGAGATAGGCTGGTGGGACCTGAGGTCTTCACCAGCAAGGGTTCTGGGAGGCCTTTCTGCTACTATCCAGGAAAAGATAGGCAAAGAGCCAGAGAAATGGGGGGAGAGGGAGCCCTCCGGGGGATTCAAGTCTAGAAAGCCTTGGAGATATGCCAGTCCGACTGTTTTTAGGGTTGTTAATTTTTTGTGCCCCTGAACTACCCCTGGGGAACAGAGTCTCGCTTCTGGCCCCTGGCCACCCTCGGAGAGCCTTTACGTGCCCCCAGAGGCATCAGAGATGCTCCCCACTCGGGCGGGGGTCCCCTTTCCTTGGGCAGCATCTGGCTCAGGTACTGGTCCTCCCACACTTCCCTCTCTCCCTCAACTTGATCCGTAAAGCCTCCATTCGCTTCTGTTTCCCGTCAGGGGGAATCACGCTCTTCCATCAAGGTTCCCGGGCCAGCGAGGCAAACGGCCAGGACCCTGGGGCCGCGGTGAGGTCCACCGGCGGAACCTTGGGAGGTGCCGCTCCTGCCCACAAACGGGGACGGTGTTCTCGAGTGGAAGTCGCCCGTGGAAGTCTGAGGTCACTGAACTTTTCCACAGAAACCCCGACCGAAATTTCTCGCCTCCAGGCCCCTTTACTACACCGAGCCCCGCCCTCCCGCACGCGATCCAGCCCCCGGCCCCGCCCGCAGCCCGTGTGCGCGCTCCCGCCGGCGTCCGTCTCCGCACTCTCCCACCTCGCGGTGCTGCCCGGCCCGACTGCTATTTCTTTCTCTGTTTGGGTACAGCTCCAGTCTTCTCGTCTCCGTCTGACCCTTCTGGGGGGCATGTGTGCGAGCTCTCGTTCTGATTATCAGACATTTCTTTTCCACTGTGTGGGCAGGAGACAGATTTTTCCCCGCGAACTGTCTCCCGTCTCTTTTATTCATTTTATTCTCTGTTTCTCTCCTTTCCCTCCTCCTGCCTTCCCGCCCGCCCCCCTCTTCTTTTTTCCTGATTCCTCCTTCCCCCTTCAATTTCACCATCTCTCCTGCCCCCTCTCCCCGTGCCCCTTCCGCTCCCCGTGTGCCCTTTGAAAATAATTCAGTGATGTCTCGGAAATACTAGCACACTCTCCTCATTCATCCGAGCGCGGGACTCTGCGTTAATTCAAGGTAAGCCCCGGTTCTTGCTACCCAGGAAATGGTCGTCTGCGCCCTGGCGCCCGCAGTCTTTGGGGCTGTGCTACCCTCCCCGGCGCCGGGCGCCCAGCTCCGTGTCCCCGGTGCTGCTACCTGTTGGCGTTGCATGGACCGTGGAGATTCCTAGTTTGCCCAAACCTTCCCCTGAGCCGGTTCTTCCTCTCCACGCGCTGCCCTTTTCTTTGCAACTTCCGTGTTCGTTTCCCGGGCGTGAGAAAGCCCCCGCGCGGTGGGCGTTTTGGGGTGTGAGGGGTGTGCTCCTTGTCAGGGCGTCCGGGGCTGGCACCTCGTTCGTGCTTGCGTGTTCGCTCAGCCGGCAGCGAGGGAGCCTCGTGCCGCCAGGGGAGCGCAGCCAAGCTCGGAGGAGGGGGTGCCGGCCGGCAGCCGGGGCTCTGCCAGTCCCCGCCGTCGGGAAGTTCTCTGCGGGGGTGGGGGGGCACTCCTGGGGAAGGCTCGCTGAGCAGGGGCTAAGCTTCCAGCAAAGTTTCTGGGAAGGAAGCTGTGTGCGCCGTTGGAAGCGTCCCGGGATTGGTGCAGGTTAGGCTGGGGTGTTTCTGGAGCCTCGGGTCGACCAGGCGGATGGGCTGGCGAGCCGACCCTATCCTGGGAGAGAGCCGGGAACTGGGCCTCGGAGGAAGGGGAGTGCGGAGAAGAAGCCGGGCTATTTAGAGTGACTTGCTTTTTGACCGGCTTTGGGTCTCCCTACGAGAGGGTGAGTTGCATGTCCTTTTCCAGGGATGAACACCCAGTTCTCTGAGCCTCTTTGCTTTGTGCCCGTGCCCAGGAGAGAATGATGGGGGACACTACCCCCTCCTCTACCACATCCCCCTGAGATCGAGGCTTCCGCCGTCTCACTCTGGGGACTGAGGTGGCACTTTGGCCACTTGCCCAAGGAGGGATCCTCCCTCTCACCAGGCCTGACTCGGGCCGCTCCGAGCAGCGTGCAGGTGGTTCACGCTGCGTAGGTGGGTGAATGACCGAGATCTGGGGGATTGTAATGATTCACTCTCTCTTACCTTTGGAGGCCATGGTGTTGGAACATTAATTCTTTCTTACTCTTGGGGTTCAAGAACCACACTGTGTCTCAGAGACATCATGGTCAGCGGAAGGGCTGGAGAAGCCAAGCAGTTTAGTCCAGACTAGAGACTGTGAGACCTGCACTCAGAGAAATGTTTTCATGAAAGGAAAGATGTTTCTGACGCTTAAATAAGAGCATCGCTTTGACTCCACGGACACCTGAGCTACAAAAAAGGGGTTTTCTTTACTGGGACTGGGAGCTAGGGTAGGCACTGGGGAAAACTTCCCCAGTTGACAGTTCCACGAGGAGTTACTAATGGAAAATAAAAGAAATTCCCCTTCTGCAAATGTGTGGGTCTGGTCGGGTTGTGCAGCCATCTCTAGAGCCTAGAAGGAGATGACCTTTTCTTGTTTGATTCCGCTCTGCTGTTCTCTCACATGCTTTGTCTCTGGCCAGCTAAGATGTATTTTTTTTTTAACCACTTTGTAGTATTGGGTAATCATATAATTTATTGTCCAAGCTGGGACACTTTTGAGAGTAGATAGAGACATTAGTAATAATTAGACAGGGACAAGAGAGACTGTCTAGACAGATAGGGATGAATGATTGCCCTGAGAGTGACTATACAGTCAGAGTGAGGGACAGTTCATGAGGCAACATGCCATGCTTTCATGTCATTTGGATTTGCACCTTCCTTATTGGCGTGGTTCTCCCTGACTCAAATTGCAAATGGACTTTATTTCCGTTGCCTCTGAGAAACCAGTGCTGAATACAGATCTCTTTCCCGTGACGACTCCTCTTTCCTCAATTCCACAAAACCCTTCAAAAATCCCACTTCCAGAGGGGAACTTCATGCTTTGATTGCAGGAGTTACAAGTAGAGGGTGATTTCCATGGAAATGATTTACATGTTTCTATCCCTCTGACTGCTTCCTTGTGATATTTATGAGCCTGGGCTCCCAGGAGGCCATCCTTCTGCCAGGATTTGTGAGTGTTATGTTGATGGCAGGATGATATACAGTGACCCTCAGAGTCCCACGGTTGAGTGATTGGATCACTGCTGTCAGAACTCCTCAGCTGTCCGGAGGCTGGGGGTGGTGTGTGTGTTGGGTGTGAGAGAGGAGAGGGGAGAGGAAAGAATCCTATATGTGTCTGGGTTTTGAACACGTACAGGTTTTGAACATATATATGTTCAAGAAGCATCCTATTGCAGGGAAGTGCCTGGCTTTTACTTCCTCGGTTGTGTGAGGGAGTGATGAGGATTCTTAGGGGATGTGTCAGTAACACTTCCAGCCCCTTAGGAGCCCAAGAGTCTGGAGACAGCCGGGTCCCTGCAGGGCTTCAACAGTTTAGTTATCATTTATTAAGTGCTTGTTATTTTCCAGATACTAGAGCAAAGAGTTTCCAGACTTTATCATAATTAATCCGTATCCAATCCTATTAAGTAGGTATCCTCAGGTGAGGATCCTCCAGGTGAGGCACCTGGAGCTCAGAAAAGTTAAGTAACTTGCTCAGGTTCACCCAGAGGCTAGCTGACTCTCTCCATGCAATGGGTACCTCCTTGTGTTGAAGTTGATGCGGTCAGTATTTGGCTCACACATGTGGTGTAACCTGTTTGGGGGTCTGGGGGCGATGGATGGTTTCAGGGTAGGGTGGATTAGACAGTCCACTTGTCCGTCCTGCCTGGTTCTTGACTCGTGGTGCCCCTGTTCTTTCTGTCCACATCGTCCTTTCTTGGTATCTGTGCAGTTTGTGTGCTCCACCCCCTGCCCTGCCACGTGGACCATCCCTGGAGGACCCTCTCACCTAGATCCCACTCCAGTGTGCCTGTGAATGCCTGTGCTGAGAGGATTGTCTCGTGGATGCGCGGAGCAGGTGTCACCTTCTGGTACTGAGGGTCTGTCTACACCGTAGTTATTGAAGCCTGCCTCTCTCAGGATCGCAGCTGACTGAGTCCAGTTGTCTCAGAGACTGACAATGGCCTAGAATTGGAGAAAGCCTCCCCGCCCCTTGGCTTGCCCAGAAGCAACTCTATAGATCAGCAGGGGAACCTGACCGTTCCCAGCTGAAAGTGTTTTGGTTCGGTCCTTTAGATCCTTTCTCTATCATTGAGGCAAAAATAGAGCCTTAAGGAGGTAATTCTAGACCTTGTTTCCACCTGCTCATCCTTCCTATTTACCCCGTAGTATGTAATCAGACCAAGAACAGCATGCCTGGGCGAAACAGGGCGTTATCAGGTGAGAGTGGGGTGGATAAAGGAGCACTGGCCGGGGAGACTTGACTTCTAGCCCAACTGAGCCCCATTAAGGAGCCATGTGACCCTGGGCAAGTCACGAACTGCCCTGGGCCTCATTTCACTTGCCTGAAGATGAAGATTGGGCAGATGCTCCACAGGTATTTCCCAGCTCCAGCAGTTGAAGATCCCACAGTTCAGCGTAGCTTTGGGCTCTGAGCTCCATAAATCCTAGGCGGAGCCACTCCTTGCTTTGGGGAAGCACAGGAGGCTGATGGATAGGAGTTAGGTGGAGGGGCCATGAAAGAGACGTCGTGGGGAGGAGCAGTGACTGCCCCTGGCCTCCTGTGGGCAGGCCTCAGCCCAGTTCTGGTCTGGAAAAATGGGGTGGCTTATCTGGCCTTCCCTCCTGTCTGCCTTGTGTTGTCTTGAATCCCCAAGAAGTTGTATTTCCTTGTACCCGCAGTAAGTGACAGAGGATTGGGAAGAGCGGGAAATACCACACTGTGCTAACCAGCATCTGCAGTATTCCCTGAATGATGAGCTGAGCGCTGGAGGAAGGGCAGCGGTGGTAGGCAGGAGGATGGAAGAAGGTGGTCTACAAAAAGAAAAAGAGAAAGGAGACATGGTCTTGGTCTTTATGGGACTTGCAGTATGGTAGGGAGTCTGGATCTAGGCCATTGTATAGTAACAAACTAAAGCCATTTGGAACCAAAAAGCCCATTACAAAGCTCTTTGTTATAGTACAGAGTGGGTTACATGCAAATCAGGAAACTTCCTGGCAGAAGCAAAGAAGTGTGGTACCTCTTTCCCTGTAACCTGGAAAACGTGTTAGGAGTGTAATCCTCATCTCTGACATGAGGATTCTAAAGGGTCCTGTTGTCTGCTGTACATGTGTGGACTTGGGGGAATGGCAATGAATGAGATTCTAGAACAGAATTGGGCTTTACCAAGGCAAGGCCTTCCCTTCTATGTTCACATAGTAGCACTTTGAAAGATACATCCTCCGGAATCACAGAGATTTTGCAACTACATCGACCTCACTCGAAAAAAAAATCTGTCCCCCTATAAACGCTAGCCTGGGATTGGGGCAGAGAGAGAATGCTCCAGATTCTCACTGTAGGGTTAGGGGTGGCGGCAGCGGCTGAATGGGTGCTGGGGGAGGGCACAGAACTGGGGCCCAAGAGGAAGGTGTGATGCTGTCTTGGATACGGGGCAGGCACTGCAGCCTGTGGCAGAGCAGGGCATCCAGCCTGGTGGGCTTTTATGTAATTTCTAACCTGAGTAACAAAATCTAGGGCTACACCGATGGACGCAACTTTTAATGATGGAGATATCACTGTAGTTGCAGAAATGTAACTTGATACAGCTTTCTGTATCTTCTTGGCAGAAGGTATCTGTGTTTATGCCTCCTTTATGTATCTTTTGGGGTTCCCCCATGAATCAGATGTGTACAGGGCCTTTTGCTGGGAGAAATGGGAAAATAAAGCTGAAAATGGCATGGTTCTCTCAAATAATTGGTTTCTAGCTCTAAGTACAGCTAGAAGAAATTTGAAGAATTTTGATTTCTTTTACCAAATTATGTGTTATCTGGTCTTGCCCCAGTCTTTACTGGCTATAGACCATGGGCAAATCACTTAGCCCCCTAGGCCTCAGCTACTTTATCAATAAACAGGCCCGGTAGCCTGTCTTGGAGAGAAGGGGCCTGGACCCAACAGTCATC